CCGACACTGTATTAAAATACGCAGAACGTACCAATAACATACCGACACGTTCCAAACTTCAGAACGTGCCGAAACCACGTTCCTTTGGAACCACAGGTACCTGTAACGGGAACTTGTTCCAAGATCAAGAAGGAACGAGGGGCGAGATTTTGTTCCTGTTTTTGAGAATTACGTACAGCGCTGGTTTCTTCCCGTTGTCTTCCCGCAATCAAAGCGAACAAGAACATCTTCTACGCCTCGCACGCGCACTATCTTGCGTTCGAACCTTACTGAACAGTCAGTAAAGAAAGTCGCAGCTAGCCTTTGAGTTCATGCACCATCCCTCCCATCAGAGCTAGGTGCTCTGCCGTGCAGGGCAGGCTTCATCACTTCCACTCACTCAGTCGCTCACAATCTAGAAATTGAAAGAGTGCGTGCAGGTCTATCTGCGCCTCATTTTGGATCTATGAACAGAAAGGCAAAAATAGTAATCTAAATGTAAATATGTATGCAAGAAGCCTTCCAGTTTTGATCGTGGGAAAAAGCAGCTTCAGCGAGTGTCTGGCGAGGGAGACACGAAACCTGCTTACCCCGCGTGCCCACAATTCTTCACCCCTGAGATGCGGGCAATTTATCGCTATTTAGTGTTCTTCGTCCTCTCTCGGAGTCACTCTGCAACGCCACAAAATTTGTTTGCCAACCCGAAGGAATGGTATTTGTAGATACTAGCGCCGAGATGTTTTGCCAGTACCCCCTTAAGGGGTATTCACACGAGGGAGAAATCCCGGGGATTTCTCCCCGGCACGCGCATCCCACGACGAAAACGTCAGGCTTTCCGATGTGCAAAAGCCTCGCGTTTTCATCTCGTGATGCGCGCGTGCCGGGGAGAAATCCCCGGGATTTCTCCCTCGTGTGAATACCCCTTTAAGGCCGGTTTTCACATGCAGCGAAGCGCTGCTCACGTGTCGCCATGTACTTATCGTCCGCCATGAGCAACAGTCCTAACGCTGCGATGCAAAGCTCGTGAACGCTCCCGTCAGCACGTGCTAAGCGCGATGTCAGAGTATGCTTGTAGTGCTCTGCTATGGGTGCCTACAGCGCTATATATGTGAGCAGACTTTTATGGTTTGCATACGTGAGGTCGCGTCTAGGATTCGCTTCACCGTGACATCACAAGTTGTGGTCCGGGCTCTTTATCATAAGTTGCGATGACAAGCTTTATGATCTGGGCATAAAGCAACGTGAAAACTGGAAACAATAGCTTTCTTAAACCGACACCGTCGAGGTCGACTGTCCGAGAATGATCTTATGCCCGTGGTTTGGTCAACTGCAGAATGCCGACAACAGGGATGTTTTTTGTCGTAGATGTCACATACGGGGATTGACATTTGAAAAAAAAACACAAAAACATGCAAAGAAGCTTCATCTGTAGCACGTGGTTGTATCCTTCCACCAGGCTCCTCTTCACAGTGCGTAGATGTGTTTTTGAAGGTGAAACGCTGGCTATCGAGGCGGAGCTTCGACTTCGTTCTTAGCCTATCGCTGATACACGTACTTCGAAGATCCATGTTTTGAAATAATTGTTAAAATGAATGCTAAAATCAACTGATAAATTCAAGTCATGCTTCTTTTTTATTTTGCATAGAAAAATAGCAAACTCCTCAGAGAACGACATATTGTGGTTTGGAGATAACTACGGTGCATACAACGCGACCAACCTGTACAGTCTTATATCCTTGAAACAAACCACGTTAATAAAAACACTACAATATATATATATATATATATATATAAGTCAGAGGTCCGTACTTGCGGAGTTGCTATGCTAGGAGTTTATTGCATGTATTTCAACAGTTTCACCGAGAGGCTCGGCTTCGTCAGGAGATGGCATAGAGTGATGGGATGGGATGTATGCCATCTCCTGACGAAGCCGAGCCTCTCGGCGAAACTGTCGAAATACATGCAATAAACTCCTAGCATAGCAACTCCGCAAGTACGGACCTCTGACTTATTACATTTTCCCGGTCCATTGTTCTCAAGCTAGTCTGCCTCACCTATATATATATATATATATATATATATATATATATATATATATATATATATATATATATATATATATACATTTCACCATTTTCAAAGACAAATTGTGTAAATACCTGCATTCTTGTCTCATTGTTATACGCAACTCGCAAATAAGAAAAAATGCCAGGGAATTAAAAAAAATATTATCAGTTTTTTCGTTTGCTTTTTTGGATCAACGCTTCCAAAAAAAAATATTATTTTAGGGCGCAGCATTTAGGCGCCCGTTTCCGGCTTGAGCGGCGTCGGCGTAACCGTGTGGTGCATTATGGGACATTTCCCAAGATGCAACGCGCGGCGAGAGGGATGAGGGACGAGGAGAAAGGTGAGGAGGAGTAAGGGGAAGAGGAGGATGAGGAGGTGAGGAGAAGGGAGGAGGGTTATACCCTCCCATCAGTACCTTTCCGTCCTCCTCAAGAGCTGCGCTCTAATTCGGCGTTACAGGGTGTTGTAAACGTCTTTCATTTTGCAACATAATCCCCTCTTACACTAATGCAGTTCTGCCTTTTGCCTTAAAGGCTTTTGATACATCGCAAAAAAAAACTTTCCTCATGCTCGTCAAGCCTCTGCTCGGTGGCAGTTCGCAGTGGTCTCAAGTCATAGAACCTAGAGCACTGCACGGGCCGGAATTTCTAGGCCCGGCCCGACCCGGCCCGGTAGAGACACGGCCCGGGCCCGGCCCAAGCCCGACAGAATATTTTATTTCTAGCCCCGGCCCGACCCGGCCCGGTAGAGACACGGCCCGGGCTCGGTCCGGGCCCGATAACATTGTCAAATATGAGCCCGAGCCCGGCCCGAGCCGGAAAACTGGGACCGAGTTTTTTATATCATAAATATGTCGACTTAGAATATGTATTGTCGAGAGTATGGGTGAAATATGAGCGTCATTTGCGACAGTTTTTGAACTCATGTCACACCGATAATCCTTGAGACAGAAGTTGGGAATTTTTATTTATGAATTTATTGAAGGGATATTGCACTTTTCGTTGTTCTATTCAATTCGTTTAAGAGAAATTTCCTTGCTAAATATTTTTGCAGAAACAATAAATTGTCCATGGACTCTCTCTTCAGGCAGGTCCGTCTTGCTTGCATAATGTAGCCCGCCGCGCTAAAGTTCCGTTCGCTGCTAGCAATTGTAGCAGTGATGCACAGAATGCAATTGGATAGAATCAGAATGGACAGTTTCGGAAATTCTTTCTCGTGCGCTCTCCTGAAGTTACAAAGCTCAGACACTCCTGAGCACGAGTAGTCTTTCTTGCCGCGTAGATACTCCTCCAATTCGTACAAAGTACCAAGTCGGGGTAACGTTTTTTTTTTTTTCTTTTTTTAGTTTGAAAAGCAGAGGAAAAAGATAGTGATGGGACGAATCACTGGAGATTCGGATTCGGACAGATTGGGAAATTTCCGAACTTCCCGCGACGAATATTCGGCAGATTCGGAGATTCGTCAGGTTCGTCGCTGGTTGCAGTCGACAGCGTGAAACTTGTCGTAAACCTCGCGAATACGGTCAGTTGTGTTTTCTTTTTAGGTATTGTTACTGCATATTACCAGATTTCGTCTTGTTTATTTCAACGTATAGTATGCACTGCACTGTTAAACCCTGGCACGCGACCGGTCCAGCTGAGCTGATTGGTGTGATTGACGTAGGCCTAACCAATGCACGGTCTCGGTTTCTGTGCGATTTCGCGGTGATCGGCAAAATGTAGCGAAAGGCAGTGTATTATTCATAATGTGGCGCAGCGCACAATAAATATATTCAGGTAAGGAAATGATTCGCCTCCTTCTTTAGAGCTGCGTGTGTCTACCTGTAAGGCGCGAGATCGAGATGAATGTTGCTCGTCTCAACTTCGACCGCGTACCGGCACGCACGGTTCCAGCACCGGTGGCAATGGAAAACCTCGCTAATTCGCACTTGTTCTCCGTTCTCGGCAGCAAGTCGGCCGTGAAAGGTTATGCGTTGCACATCTTCGGAAGCAACACAATAGATACTAGAAGAAACGGACAAAGGGCTTAGTCCATTTCCGGTGCGCCGTTCGTGGTTTGCAAGACGAACTATCTCGAATACCAATCTGCATTTCTCGCAGGAGCTTAACCATACTCAATGCTCCTTGAACTACCTGTCCAAGCAAGTGTTGTCAGAAACAAATAATAGTTTTATTGCACTCGCTGCTTCTCTTGCAGAAAAATGAACACGTCGAAACAGTAAAAGTTAAAAGGACTAGGAGTGGTTCATTAACAGATAAACAATCGCCACTCGAAGGTCAGCTTTTCCAGGAATGTTTCTTGCGGTTCAGACTGTTCCAGCTGTGCTTGCCTATGCCTCCATGCCCTGCTCATGTGAATGAAGCTGATGGTGGCCACATTCTACAGTGTGAGGCGGTTCCTTCTGACGATCATGACGGCCCCTGCAAGGTAGATACGCCCCCTGTGTACACACACTGATTGGCAGGCAGGCAAGATATCCAGTGGCTAAGGTGTACAGGTCAGGGTACAGGTACACCCCTAATCACACTTAGCTACAACAAGCAGTCCGTGGCTCTCCTGTCCTCCCAGCACCCACATAGAAAGTGCACTCCAAAACGTTGCGCAGTTTGGAAGAACAAGTTCACTGCATCCCGCATGTGGCGTATTTGTAAGCACACCTGCTATGTCGGCGATTAGAGGACGGAAAAACCACGGACTGCTTGTTGTAGCTAAGTGTGACTATACCTGTAGTTTTTTTTCTTCCAGTATAGATGATGAGATTGCTTCGCAAGTTAATTAAGCATCCCACTTCCTCGTCTTCCAGGTAAGCATCAGCTTGTGCACTGATGACCGTTGTGGTTTGTCTCTTCCGTCGTGGCCCTTGAGTAGTGTGCTTAGTTTTACTGCAGTTGCCGCTTATCGTTTGCAGGAAAATTAACAACTTGAAACGGTATTGGGAGTGATGCAAGGGCACTTTAGCAGTCGCCACTCTCAAATATCATCTTTTCCAGAAAAGGCTCTTCTTCCGGTTCAGACAGTTCCTCCTCAGCTGCACTGGCCTGTGCTGTCTCTGCTGCACTGCTGAGGCTGTTGGCTACTCTTGCAGGCAGAATGTTGGGGATCCATTCCCTGTTCATGCGAATGAAACTGAGGGTGGCCACATTCTTCGGTGTGAGACGGTTCCTTCTGTCGGTCACGATGGCTCCTGCAGTGCTGAATACCCTCTCGGAGTACACACTGGTTGGAGGGCAGGCAAGGTATCCAACAGCTACGGTGTACAGGTCAGGCCACAGGTACCGCTTTTTCTCCCAGTAGACGGTGGGATTGCTCTGCGAGTTGTAGCATTCCACTCCCTCGTCTTCCAGGAAGGCATCAAGTTGCGCCTTGACGACCGTTATGGTTTGCCGCCTTTCCTGTCGTGGCCTGGGAGTTGTTGTGCTCGATGTCGTATACCATGAGTGAAAATCACTGGGTGGTGAGCTGCCTGAGGAGGTGCTGGGGGCGCTCTGGGGTGATGATTCAGCCACACTCTTGTCCTTGCATGCCTGGCTATGGACATCCTGGAGTCTCTGCTGTAGGTAGCTTCGCACAATTTCCAATTTTGGGGATGCAGAGGCCTCTTCGCTTGTGTGAGTGGAAAGTGTGTCCCTGAAACGAGGATCCAGTAGGGTAGCAGCCCAGTACTGAACATCTGTCTTCACAGCATTCAAAAGTCGACTGAGGCTCAGTTCATTGAGCAGACATGACGCAAGGCAGAAGACCGGGGTGTCCAGCTCTGCACCTGTCATAGTGTGGGTGACTGTTCTCTCGATGAATGTGAGGAGGGGCAACACTTGTCCCAGCGTCGACGTGTCCATGCAGAGGAGGCGTGTTGCCTCCTCAAACGGCTTCAAAACAGTTGCCATGGCCTTGAGCAGAGCCCATTGCCGTGGCGCAAGGTAGTGCTTCGTGCTGTCTTCGAAGAACTCGCTGACAGCTCTCCGCTGCTCAGAGAGTCTCTCAACCATGTAGAATGTGCTGTTCCATCTGGTGGGAACATCTTGCAGAAGCTTGTGAACTGGCAGGCCGTAACGAAGTTGGATAGCTTCCAGTTGCCTCTGAGCACTCGCAGAGTGTCGGAAATGGCCAACAATGGCACGTGCTGCCTTGAGAGTCTCCTCCAGCTCTGCACCAGACTTGGTCAGCGATGCTTTTACTACCAAGTTAAGGCAGTGGGGCATGCATGGTGCGCGCTTCATCCCTCTGTCGTTCAGTGCTTTCACCACATTTTGTGCATTGTCGCTTGTTACAATGCCCACTTTCACCCCCAAAGGAACTAGCCATGTCTCTATGACATCCCCGAGCTTCTTGCCGATGTTGTACGCCGTATGCTGCTGTCCAAACCCGGACATGTCGAGGACGGCATTGTTTCTGGTCAGGGATCCTTTGGAGTCTGGAGCTATCCAGTGTGCCGTCACAGACATAAAGTCATTGACTTGGCGGCTCGACCAAATGTCGGTTGTCAGGTGGACTTCCCCCACGCACTCTTTAAGTTGTACCTTTAAAGCCTCTGCAATGACAGTCTCCAGCGCTGGGATGGCCGAGTTTGCAAAATAGCCCCTGCTCGGAATGTTCCATTTCGGAACACAGAACCGCATAAAATCTATGAATGCAGGGTCTTCAACCATGGAGAATGGCTTCATTGACTTTGCTATGTATTCTGCCAGTTGCTTGTTGTGCGCCATTGCCAATGGGTGCGTCGAAGTTCAGCACGGCTTGCGATACATGGCCTCTAGTAAGGTCAGCTGGGTCTGGGGTGATTTTGCAACACAGGATGTCACGAATGATGCTGCTGGTGTTGATGCAGACGTTGCTGTTGGCGCAGCAGGAGTCCTCTTTAACAAGTGGGGATGGTTTCGCTTCATATGATTATGAAGTGCATTTGTTCCAATCTTTTGGCATCCACCTTCTTTTCCAAGCCGTACAGTCTTGCGGCATTGTTTACATACTGCCTGATACTGGCCTGTTCTCTCGAAATGGACCCATATTGATGATTCTTTTGCACGCTTGGCGGGTGGGGGCAGGTTCCGGTCCTCCTGGATATCTGGACTGGGTCCACTCTGTGGCGCTCTGCTGCTGGAACTCGGTGTTTGGTCCACTTGAGCGTCCACTGGAGGTGTCAGCGTTGGATCTGATAATTAAAGTTTAAAAAGAGTAACAAATAGTTATGTAGGTGATTACCATGTACCTCATAGCTACTGTTTTTTTGGATCACTGCAATTAGATCTACACAATTTTTGCATAGAGTAACGCTGGTGTGCATGATGTAGTTATGAAACTTCCATTATTTGAGTGCCTGCAGTTCCATATTTTATATAGTGAATAAGCTCCTCAAAGACAAGAACAGAAGACCAAGACGACATTGAGCACTACTTACAACTGTATTGTTTATTGAAAAACATTAGCTGTACACAAAACTGGGCTCCTGGCATAAGGCGAACTCATCAGTTAGATACAGCGACGATGCACTTCTGCCTACCGTGTTTGCTCACTAGTCAAGCCCTTAAAGCGCAGAAAAAATTGCAGTCTAGAGAAGCAAAGGCTGACTAAGAGTAATTATGAGCAAGAATCAGTTGTCATTCTAAAAAAAGAGGTTACGCTGATATCAGGCGGTAATATCTTGTGTGCTGAATTTACGCCCTAAGCAGTTGTGTCGATTGGCAGCGTACATCTAAAAATGAGATCTGATAAAATATAATTTGACTTGGTTACTTTTGGTAATACAGCTTTAATGAAAAAACAATTAGGGCGCAGGCGAGCTGGTGTAAGTTTACCATTTTTTTAGACCACCTGAGACTGGGTGGAAGAAACACGACGACGTCTCAAACACAGCTAACCACTTTATTCAGTTTTCCCTCCTTTTATACATCCTGATCCCAAAATCGTCACCATAAAAAAGCTTTAATATTGTTATGAGCACATGTTTCCTTTGGCTGGGGAACTATATCTGAAGCAACATTTTTTTTTTTGGCATATCAGTATTAAAGAGGACATTTGTGTAGCCTTGACCGCCACCCTGGGTGTGCGAGCTCACAAGTGCCCGCAGCTTTGACTACACCGCCAAAAAAGTTGTCCCCAAGTATAGACTTTATTCTAGCAGCTAGATGTATGCTAAATATATAATACCTTGAATTATTGCAATCTCGAAGCCCTCCAGTCCTTCTATTCCTCTTAAGACATACACAGAACCTTGGTTGGAACTGGTCTCTTGTGCAGGTTCAGGAGTTTCAGGAGGCCGCGTTGCTTTGTCACTCTCCGTGGCTTTGTCAGGAATTTCCCTTTCAGAATTAAAAAAAGTTTTTTTTATTATTTTAATATAAGTTGTTTACACAATGCCTATGTGCCACATCAGTCACATTTTAAAACAACCGAAACATACTTTGGGGTGGCACATCACAGGTTATTCTGCAACATGCATTGCAACACGAGAAACATTGTTGCACCATTACAGTGTCCAGACAGAGAGAGTTCGGAATAGCAGGGTATTTAGACATTCCACTTAAATGTGCCCGGAATATGACTGAGGCCTGTTGCAGAAAGGTGCCATGTAATTCAGGTTAGGGTTGCACATCAAAATATCTCCAGATAGTTCAAGTAATCCTCAGCCCACCGCCTGGGCGTGCCAGATGCCCTTAGTAGGTTTTGCATGTAAACCCCAAACCTACACTGCATTCCACTTAAATGCATGACGAATAATTACTCATGCTGCATATCTTTTCCTCTTCTGAAATATATTCATGTAATCTCAGTGCCAAATTTGATTGAATTTAGCTGAATAAATATAAGACTTAGTACATTCTTTGTCTGGAAGGTATTAAAATTTACATTAATAGGTACACCCAATGCCGCCCACCTCAGTCTTGGGTACTTGTTGCTCTATTTAGCTTCCGAATATAGTGCTTTGCGAGCATGTAGTACAGGAGGTAAGTTGAACCACCCTTGTCAGGTCAAGGTATTTAACGTTTATATTATTAATTAATTCACTTATTTATTTATAGACAAGCTACCAAGCAGCTACGATCGATGTAGTTCTGGCAATAAAAATACATTGCATTAATATAATTTGAGGTGAAAACGACCGCATTTTTGTTTATTTTCAATTGTGTGCACATGTTATTTTGTGCGTACTTAAACTTCAATACGACAATTTTCCTACATTAAAATGCACGTTTAATGCTGCACACCTGTTCACGTACCAGTTATGCTCAAATAAAAAAATGAAAGCTCATATACTTACAGTAAGATGGGGGATTCCCTGTCTGCCGAACGTCCCGAAGAATCGTGTAGCTCCATTGGCTCCATCCTTCGAGTGCGAAACCGTAATACCCGCCGAAGTCGGAGCAGTCAGAGCTTTGGGAAGGGGAGGAGGAGGAGGGGGGGGTGCACTTCGATGGTTTTCTATGCGTGAACTTTATTTGATGAAAGAGAAACACAACACAGGGGTGTACAACGCAACTTTATTGTTCGGAAACAAACACTAACTAAATCGGATGTCATTAACCAGAAAGGTACAAATGCAGTACAGGAGACTGCAATCCTACAGCGCAAGGAGTTTCAGATTGTTTCCCGTGTTCCGATAACAGTACCTCAGTGGACACACGATGGAGATAATCGAATCGAACATACTCACTTGCGTGGTGTGTGCCACTATGACCGTAATTATGGGCACAAAATCTGTCCGTACCGAACAGCCCGTGCGGCATCGATCTCTTGCGGCGATGAAAACATGCGGACATGCGCTTGCATTTCCACCTGCACCATACGTGCACCAAGCATGCCTATTTCGGTCGTAATCCAGAACCGAAACCAATTTTCCCGCGATGTCTGGCTACCGTTCTCGACAAACATCCAAAATATTATAAACGAAGCGGAACATTTTATTTATTACTATACTAATATATTGCAACATTATTTTGTGCACTTTGTAGAATTTAGTGAATTTAATATCACGAAAAGTTAAACACTCGTCGACGTAATCTGGCAATCATGGCAACGCTCCGAATTTTTCCGAACTTTTCCGAATCTCTCGAGATTCGGCTACTCTTCCGAATCTTTCCGAATCTTCAAATTCGGCTCCGAATCTCGATTCGGATAAAGATTCGTCCCATCACTAGAAAAACACAATCATGTTGTACCCTGCGACCGGAGTGCCCTCGTTATCTTGCCCGCTCTCTCTCCCTATGCTGGTGGAGTCCATGTTTCCTTTTATCCGCTTGAAGGCTTTCTAACTGCGAGACACCTTTTTGTTAATATTTTAACGGCGCTGTCGCGACTTTGCACCTCGCGTTTTTTTTTTCTTTTTTTTTTTCAATGAATTTAACAGATTAATGTGTAATATTTTTGTTATTAACAATTTAAAATTTACGGAACACGACTGACCAGGCACGACCCGGGCCGGCCTGGGCCAGCCCGGGCCGACGCGGCCCGGTAACTTTTTTTTCAAGCCCGAGCTCAGCCCGGGCCCTAAAAAATCCGTGCTACCCGGCCCGAGCCCGGCCCGCGGGCCGGGCCGGGCCCGGGCTTTCGGGCCGGCCCGAGCCCGTGCAGTGCTCCAATAGAACCTTGCTTCTTTTAGGTGTTTTCCTTTCAGATTCGGAAATAAAAAAAAGCCACTAGTGGCCAGATCAGAACTCTAGGGCGGGTGGTCAAGCTCTTTGAAAGCACACTGTCGAATGCCCACCTGGGATACGCATTCTTCTGAACGGGTGCGTTATCACGCACGAGAAGGGTACCACTTGTCACCAATCCTCATTGTTTTTCCACGATGGCCTCACGCATTTTGCGAAGAACGTTGGCATTGTATTCACTCGTTATCATCCTGCGCGTTCCCAGATAATCAATCAGTAGGATTGCCTTTTGAGTCCCAAAAATCTTCAGCAATCACATTCTTCCCCGAGCGTTGCGTCTAGCATTTTTTTTTTTCAGGGGGGAAAGGGGATTGCGAATGTCTCCCTTGCGTAGACTGTTGTTTTGTATTGGGGTCCCACTGGTAAAGCCACGTTTCATCCGCAGTCACAAGGAGGGCATGACATCCTTCTGGGTCGCTTTCATAGATGCTCAAATGATTTTTTGACGCTTGCAAGCGGTGCTGTCGATTTTGTGTGTGGAGGTTCCATGGCATCCATCGTACCGAGACCTTCGACATACCCAAAACGTCATGGATGACTGTGAACGCACTGCCATACAAAATGTTCAATTCTGTAGCAACTTCGGACACCTTAATTCGGCGATTCTTCATGATAAGGCTCTTGGCTCTGGCTAAAAAAATCCAAAATGGTCGAATTGCTGGGCCACCCAGACCTTAGTTTGTCTTGCAGGTCCACACGACCGCGTTTTAACTCGTTGAATCAACGAGCTACTGTAGCACATGAAGAGAATTTATCGCCATACATATTCACAATTCTACTGTGAATTTTCTTGGCGGAACACTCTCCTTTGCACAAAAACTTTATCCAGGAGCTACTGTACCCAAGCTGGGAATCGGGGGAGAACGCCATGTTTAAGTGATTGGTGAAGACCAAAATCAGAACCGGAAGTCTTGATATTACGAATATCTTTGGCTAGAGAGATGGGCGAACCAACGGTTAGAAAGACATCACTGTCAGACGTTTAGTTGTAGCCGAGTTGCAAAACTTTCTGATCACCCCTCGTAGATACAACCGCCCCTCCTACAAGTGAAGCCTTC